TAACGTTGTGTAGAGTGTCATGAACGAATTCAGAGAAAGATATAGGAGAATTAAGGAATATGAGGATATTGGGTTTGGATGTTTATGGTCTTCATGAGGGGCGGTGATGGTAGTGGTCAGGGGCTGAGTTAGATTGCAAAGTTGTTTAGGAGGTATATCTTCTTTTGCTTATTAATGAAATTCACTCTTACCATCGATTGGGACATAATAAGCCTTACCCTCAAATGCATCTTTTTCCATAAATAAAAGTTCAACAAATACAAAAGCTAAAACTAGAGGCTCAAAAATGGGAGACTCGGAAAGATTTTGCTCATCACATATTGGAGTAGATAAAGAAGTAGTAGAAGGCAATTGTACTAGATGATCCATCATTCTTTTTCTTAAAAAAAGAAAACAAATACTTTGTTCTCTTGGGATTTCGATTGTGATCCGACATAATAAAAGATAGCCTATGAATAATATGTAGAAAGAATTTTAATCAAACTTACGAACAAAAAAAACAAACAAAATCTCATAATAGCATCTCAACAATACCAAACCAAAAATTATAATTCATCCATAATTAAACCCTAGACTACTTAATTTTAACAAAATCCCAAATCAAAGCCCTATTATAATTCATCCCTAATCAAAGCTCTAATTAATTTCAACAAAATCTCAAAATTATAATTCATCCATAATTAAACTCTAGAATACTCAAATTTTAAATTAAAACTATAAGTACAGATATATAGCAAAGGAGAGAATGAGAATAATACTTGTTGTTGACAAAAGGAGAGGAGAAGACGTTGCTGTCAAGTTGTCCATCCAAGATAATAGAAGATGTAGCCAATAGAGGGAGAATTTGACCCAAAAAACAGAGGGAGAAACTTGTTGTTGTTAGGTAGTACAGAGAGAGAGAGAGAGAGAGAGAGAGAGAGAGAGAGAGAGAAACAAGAAGTCTAATAGCCAAAAGAGAATGGGAGAGAAGATATGGGATCACTTGGATGAGCTACATATGCGTAGGGTTTGCTTTTAATTTTTTTAAAAAATTTTGGGATGGGCTTATAACACATGTAGGTTTTTTTTTGTTTTTTTGTTTTTTTTTTAAAAAAAAATTTGAGCTGGACATGCACCTAGCCTGTCCTGTGCATAGCTGTTAGGTTTAGGATTCTTAGAATTGGCTTTCCTTGCCAAATGTACACTTTCATGTAATTCCTCTTAACTCATCTTTAGAAATTAGGCATTGGGTATTTGCTACAAAGTTGAAGTATATTGAAGAGCTTATGAGGCTACAAAACCAAGGTAATTTGTGCATTCATTTATGATGGGCATAATTAGGAAAATCATCATTTGCATCCATATACTTTGTTAAGATGACTAGTCATATAGGCCAAATCAACATTTACATACATATACTTTGTGGAGATGACTAGTCATATAAGCCAATATTTCCAGCACGGGATTTTTATGACTAGTCATATAGGCTAATATTTCCAGCACGGGATTTTGCTTATTGTAAGTCTAATCATTGGTTGCCAAGTGTCCTTTTGACCTACCAAAAAGGCTGGAGCTGGTCTGAACTCACTATCTCTCTCACTTACAATTTCTGATATGGTTTTTTAGAGAGAGAGAGAGAGAGAGAGAGAGAGAGAGAGATCTAGTGAGAGACTAGGTATGGGTTTTGATTTTTGAGAGGCATTTTTTGCCTATGCCATTTCAGAGAGAAATTTGTTGAGAGCTTTGATTTCGCTATGCATCTTTTCTCTGAGAATGAGGTCTACATCTTTGAGAGAGAGAGAGAGAGAGAGAGAGAGAGAGAGAGAGATGTCTTCTTCTTCTCTACATTTGCAGTTGGGTATGGTTTGAGTTCTCAAATGAGGTTTTCAAATAGCTTTTGAAATTTGCTTTTATTTTCAAAATCTACTTCACCCATTGAGAAATTTTAAAAGTAAAACTTATGTTCTGCATTCTCTAAGGTTTTTCATTGTGAGATTTTGAAAATGCTTTTTATAATCTGCATCTGTGTTCAGTTATGACTAGTCATCTTCTTTTGTCTGCATCTGAGTTCATTATGACTATTCATCGTCTTTAGTCTAGATCAGATTTTTGGTTGATTTCTGTCGCACCCCAATTATTATTATTTTTATATTTGGGAATGTGAGGTAAAAGAAAAACTAAAACTAAATATTTAAATATCAAGAAACATGAAGATTGAACATAAACTTCCATTTAAGTCAAAGTAATTTACATTGTACTATTACAAGCAAAATAACAAGAAAGTAACAAACTTTCAACAAAACACTCAAAACTATCCATAACCCGTTCTTCTTGTTTGCTCAGCAAAAACTAAACTTCAGATTTAAAACCTGCAATAGATTCAATAAGGGGTGAGCATTACATGCTCAGTAGGGGTCCTATGTCTTATGTGATTAGTGAGATTTATAATGTACAATTTATGCAATGCATGAATGAACTTCAATTCTACCCAACCCGTTAATCTATATAATAGGGCAAGCAAATCTGCATGTTCCATACCATGCATTTTACCACTGTGATTCTGAATGCCCCATTATATAAACTAACACCCATTTTAATCATCCCATAATTCCCCTTTTGCTAGTCATTTTGTCTACACCATTGATCTCCAAGCCCTAATCACCTAATCGACAATTATACTGCCGATTTCCTAATCTATAGTGCACACGGGCTCTCTTGAACTTGATCCCTACAATGGTTAGACTCAACTACACAAAAGATTCTTCCC